AAATAAAATAAATAATAAAAACAAAGGTCGATCAAATGGACCAATTCGGCAATGCCATGATGATCCATTTGGCAAAATAAATCCATTGGGTATCCTTGTTGGTCTTCAGACAACAATTCTGACGGCTAAAGAACCAAATGGGACAGGCAAAAAAAAAAGTCAAGTCTGAGGAAGATAAATGCAGTTCCTGTTGTCAACTCAACCTGGATGACTGAAAGTGGGTTTTTTTTTGTCTTGTTTCTGACTGAGATTCTCCAAAGGAAATCCAGCACAAACACACACTTCACACACTCAAAGTCCCCGCACAGTAAATGAGCTTATGAACTTTTGTGCTGCTATCTGATAACAGAAAAATACTTCCATTTTTATGTCCAAAACGTTTCGAACTTGTCCAGGTCTTAAAACTCATGCATATGTCTTTCATGATAACACTGAATAAAAATTGCTTGCTTTAAAAAGACTAAATGTACAGTTCAGGATTGACTACTACATGAAATAAACCATATAAAAGTGTGTTTGAATGGCAAAGATGCAGAAATGTGTGCATGTAGTGCAGAGCCTTGGCTCAGTGTCTGAAAAACCTCCTTATGGCCATTCATACTATACGAAAGAACTAAGCAATAAACAATTAACCTGTTGAACCCTAAAGTCCCCGGTATGGGGTGAGGGAGAACATCTGGCTTTAACAGGATGTACCGCCAAATCTATTATTTAAATATAAACATGACTGGTATCTACAGAAATGTCAGAATCTCAGCTAAAAGCTAAAACATTTTAAACTAAAAACAGCAAATGATTAACAAACAGGTAAACAAATTCCACAAAAATGATGTAAACACAAAGTGCAGCTCACCCTGTTCCTCTATTTTTCAAAAGTGAAGCATAGTGTTGGACTGCTATTTCAGTGAATTTTGGTCCGACAGTGATGAAACGTGCATTTTCAGAATCTGTGAGATTTTGGTTTTAAGCACCCAACAGCATGCGAGAATTGTTGTGTTGTGCGCTGTGGATTCCCTTCTGCAAACTCATCACTATTTTCACTATCAAATTTTTACTTAGACAACAACAAAACACAAAGTAGTTCCTGGGGAAGTACTTCCTGTTTTAGAGTCTTTCAATATAAGACTATAGCTGTGTCCCAAAACGTCGGCTGCATCCTTCGGAGGACCCGGCCTTCGCGGTCTACGTGGGCCGGGTCCTTTGAAGACCAAGAAGAAGTGCAAGGTTGTGAAATGGGACGGTCTAGCCTTCAGATTTGCATCACCGCTGTGTCGGTGGAGTTTAATAAACTCGGCCGTCTGCTCCTTGCTATCTAAAATATAACAGGACACTGGCGTAAATTCTCAACCGTCTCACACTTCTGTTTAATCAGTTTTCTGTTTGACGTTTATTCAGCTGGGTGAAAATCCTGGAGGGACCCACCCGATGGATTAATAAAGTTTTATTTAATCTAATAATCTAATAACTTTGATCTCAGCCAAACAGATTTACTCCAGAACAAATAAAACACCGAAAAAGGAAAACAATTACATTTTTAAGTTATCTGAGTGACTTATATATCATGTTTAACCTGAGTAGCGAAAGAGCGGGGGTCTGAAAACAATGAAGCCGGGACTCCACTGCTCTCGCCGGCTCGAGTGACCATTGAACCCCCCGGCTTGCTATCAAGCGAGGGGGTAACAGACGTCTCTGAAAACGTCGGCACACTTTTGCAAATATGCGATGTCTTGATAAACCAAGCAGATATCTGAAATTTACACAGCTACTTTCTCGCCTGAAAATATGTCAAAAGTTTATTTTGTGACCCAAAAAGATTAATAAGACTAATTTTAAAACTTAGTAGCGGCCGCCATTGTTGGCAGCTGAAATTTGGCTGGGCCGTGCTATGAATTCTGGGATATGGTAGGCCACGAAGGACACACCTGACCCATCCTCCAAATTTGGGGAAACGAAAGACGCATTTGTCGGCCGCATTTGAAGGAGTAGACGAATTGGGACAGCCTTCGTCACCTGGCTGTGACGTACTCGGCCTTCAAATGTGGCCTCTGTAGGATGCAGCCGACGTTTTGGGACACAGCTAATGTTGCACTTCAGAACACCTCCACATCTAAGGTAATAAGGATTATCTTATTATAACTTTGTAAATTCTGTCAGTTGATTAAGAAGATATAGCTTGATCTCACCTGAGAGTTTCCACTGTACAGTGTGGACTCTTCATTCCTTCAGACAGAAGCTTGACGCCTGAATCCTGCAGGTTATTGTTACTCAGGTCTAGCTCTCTCAGATTAGAGGACTGAGAACTGAGACATGACGAAAGAGCTTCAGAGCTTTTCTCTGACAGGTCACAGTCACTCAGTCTGAAAAATAACAGATACACAAACGAACAAAATAAAAAACAATTCACGTTTTGTTCAAGTGTAATGAGACAGTATTACATTTGGCAATATTTAATCATGTTTTTGTCAGGAAACTGAGCAGTGATGCAGAGCAAAATGTGAACAGAATCAGGAGGAATGAGGAAGAAGTGAAAAGAGGACAGAGTATTAAAAGAACACTCAATCGTTCCAAGTGCTTTTGGTTTAAATAAAATTTGTCAAATTTCTGCTTTGTATTCATTTTAGAATTCATGATTATAGCTACTGGGCGGTACATTGATAACAGTTATACCCAGAAATATTTCAGAAATGCCAGAAATTTCTTCTGCTGAATATGAATTCAATATTAAACTAAGTGAGTACAGATTCAATTCAATTTTCAATTCAATTTTATTTATATTGCGCCAAGTCACAACAACAGTCGCCTCAAGGCACTTTATATTGTAAGGTTGACCCTACAATAATACATACAGAAAAAAACCCAACAATCAAATGACCCCCTATGAGCAAGCACTTTGGCGACAGTGGGTAGGAAAAACTCCCTTTTAACAGGAAGAAACCTCCCGCAGAACCAGGCTCAGGGAGGGGCGGGGCCATCTGCTGCGACCGGTTGGGGTGAGAGAAGGAAAACAGGATAAAGGCATGCTGTGGAAGAGCATTAATTAAGAGATTAATAACAAGTACCATTCAATGCAGAGAGGTCTCTTAATAGTGAGTGAAAAAGGTGAATGAAAAGGAAAAACTCAATGCATCATGGGAATCCCCCAGCAGCCTATTGCTATTGCAGCATAACTAAGGAGGATTCAGGGTCACCTGTTCCAGCCCTAACTATATGCTTTACCAAAAAGGAACGCTTTAAGGCTAATCTTAAAAGTAGAGATAGTGTCTGTCTCCGGAATCCAAACTGGAAGCTGGTTCCACAGAAAAGGGGCCTGAAAAGTGAAGGCTCTCCCTCCCATTTTACTTTTAAATACTCTAGGAACAACAAGTAAGCCTGCAGTGTAAGAGCAAAGTGCTCTAATGGGGCGATATGTTAATATCAGGTCGTTTTGAAAAGATGGGGCCTGATTATTTAAGACCTTGTGTGTGAGGAGCAGGATTTTGAATTCAGTTCTGGATTTAACAGGAAGCCAATGAAGGGAAGCCAATTGGGGAGAAATATGCTCTCTCTTTCTAGTCACTGTCAGTACTTTTGCTGCAGCATTTTGGATTAACTGAAGGCTTTTCAAGGAGGATATCTCTAATTTTAGAGATGTTGCGCATATACATATTAAACATATTTGTTTAATAAGTTTATTGAAGGGCATATCCTGGTCAAAATGACTTGAATGCCTGGTAATGCCATCCAGAATAAGAAATTGTTTAGATACCACATTTCTAAGATTTTCAGAGCCGAGTACAATAGCCTCAGTTCTGAATTAAGAAGCAGAAAGTTAGCGGTCATTCAGGTCTTTATGTCTTTAAGACATTCCTCCAGTTTTACTAATTGGTGTGCGTTATCTGGCTTCATAGATAGATAGAGTTGGGTGTCATCTGCATAGCAGTGAAAATGTATGCTATGTCTTCTGATGATACTGCCTAAGGGAAGCATGTATAATGTAAACACAATTAGTCCAAGCACTGAACACTGTGGAACTTCATAATTAACCTCGGCGTGTGAAGAAGACTCTCCATTTACATCAGGGGTCCCCAACTCCAGACCTCGTGTCCTGCAGGTTTTAGATCTCACCCTGGGTCTACAGACCTTCATCAAATGATTAGTTATCTACCAGGCCTCTGGAGAAATGGAAGACATGTTGAGGAGGTAATTTAGCCATTTGAATCAGCTGTGTTGGATCACGGACACAACTAAAAACTGCAGGACACCGGCCCTCGAAGCCTGGAGTTGGGGACCCATGATTTACATGAACAACTTGGAATGTATTCGATATATATGATAAAAACTACTGCAGAGCAGTACCTGTAATACATACAGCATGTTCTAATCGCTCTAATACGATATTATGGTTGACAGTATTGAATGCTGCACTGAGGTCTAGCAGGACAAGCACAGAGATAAGTCCACTGTCAGAGGCCATAAGAAGATCATTTGTAACCTTCACTAAAGCTGTTTCTGTGCTGTGATGAGCTCTGAAACCTGACTGAAACTCTTCAAATAAGCCTTTCTTCTGCAGATGATCTGTTAGCTGTTTGACAACTACTCTTTCCAGGATTTTTTCAATGAAAGGAAGGTGGGAGTTTGGCAGTTTTATTATTATTAAAACTATTAATTACTATTTTACCAAATTTACGTTTACCCTTTGCCAGCAGTTTTAAATTTCCCTCAATGTTGCCCGCTCTGGCCCCTGGAAGACTGTAATTGCTGGTGTCTCTAGCTTCACATGTCTGAGAACGGAATCAGCAATTACCAGAGTTTGACCCCCGGCGGGTGTGTCACCGAGTGGGGAAAAACAGTTAGACATATGAACAGCTTGGTGGTGTACCTGGGGCTTCTGTTTAAGACTATGCTTCTTCCTCAATGTCACCTCACCCTATACTTTTAAAACAGGAACAGGAAGTGATACTCTACCGCATAGAGAGCGATCACCAAGAGACAGCGTCACCCGAAGGAGATGATGACGATCACATAATACTTATATACATTTTCAGTGCCAACACTCATCACTTTTCACACCTGTTTTATGATAACTAGGATAAATATTTACAAACAAAAGGTATTAAAATTAAACACAAAATTCCAGCTGTATGACATTTAATGAAGGATTTTGGCATATCTTGAAATATATACCTCTGATAAAACAATAATTTGTCAACTGAATTTTAAAATTAAAGTGATAAGCACATATTTACTTACAGGGCCTTTTTGGAGGCTTTGACCACTGGCAGCAGTCTTAGAAGAGCCTCCTCTGAAGCAGAGTATTTCTTCAGGTCAAACACATCCACATCTTTTTCTGAAGACAGTAAGATGAAGACCAGAGCTGACCACTGAGCAGGAGACAGTTTATCTGTGGAGAGACTTCCTGATCTCAGGGACTGTTGGATCTCCTCCACTAGAGAACAATCATTCAGTTCATTCAGGCAGTGGAACAGATTGATGCTTTTCTCTGCTGACAGATTCTCACTGAGCTTCTCTTTGATGTAGTGGGCTATTTCTTGATTGGTCTGTGAGCTACTTCCTGTCTTTGTCATCAGGCCTCGTAGGAGAGATTGAGTGTTCTGCAGTGAAAGACCCAGAATGAAGCGGAGGAACAAGTCCAGGTGTCCATTTGGACTCTGTAAGGCCTTGTTCACAGCACTCTGGTAGAGTGACTTTAAGTTGTTTTTCTTTTTAAATAATTTAGACTTTTTGTAAGTTGTACGTTCTTCCAGCCAATTGTATCCAGAGTTGATGAAGGTCAGATGGACATGAAGAGCAGCCAGAAACTCCTGAACACTCAGATGGATGAAGCAGAACACCTTGTCCTGGTACAGTCCTCTCACCTCTTTAAAGATCTGTGTGAACACTCCTGAGTACACTGAGGCTGCTCTGATATCGATGCCACACTCTGTCAGGTCTGATTCATAGAAGATCAGGTTTCCTTTCTGCAGCTGATCAAAAGCCAGTTTTCCCAGAGACTCAATCATCTTCCTGCTCTCTGGACTCCAGTGTGGATCTGTCTCAGCTCCTCCATCATACTTGACCATCTTCACTTTGGCCTGAACCACCAGGAAGTGGATGTACATCTCAGTCAGGGTCTTGGGCAGCTGTCCTCCCTCTCTGGTTTCCAGCACATCCTCCAGAACTGTAGCAGTGATCCAGCAGAAGACTGGGATGTGGCACATGATGTGGAGGCTTCGAGATGTCTTGATGTGGGAGACGATCCTGCTGGCCTGCTCCTCATCTCTGAATCTCTTCCTGAAGTACTCCTCCTTCTGTGGGTCAAAGAACCCTCTGATCTCTGTGACCATGTCAACACAGTCAGGAGGGATCTGATTGGCTGCTGCAGGTCGTGTGGTTATCCAGAGGCGAGCAGAGGGAAGCAGTTTCCCCCTGATGAGGTTTATCAGCAGCACATCCACTGAGGTGGACTCTCTAGGGTCATTTAGGATTGTAGTTTTGTGGAAGTCCAGAGGAAGTCGACACTCATCCAGACCATCAAAGATGAACACAACCTGGAAGTCTTCAAAGCTGCAGATTCCTACTTCTTTGGTTTCAGTAAAGAAGTAATGAACAAGTTCCACCAAGCTGAACTTTTCCTCTTTCAGCACATTCAGCTCTCTGAAAGTGAATGGAAATATGAACTGGATGTCCTGGTTGGCTTTGCCTTCAGCCCAGTCCAGGGTGTACTTCTGTGTTAAGACTGTTTTCCCAATACCAGCCACTCCCTTTGTCAGCACTGTTCTGATTGGTTCATCTCTGCCAGGTGAGGCTTTAAAGATGTCTTCTTGTCTGATTGTTGTTTCTGGTCTGTCTGGTTTCCTGGATGCTGTTTCAATCTGTCTGACCTCATGTTCATCATTGACCTCTGCAGTCCCTCCCTCTGTGATGTAGAGCTCTGTGTAGATCTCATTCAGAAGAGCTGGGTTTCCTGTTTTAGCGATCCCCTCAAACACACACTGGAACTTCTTCTTCAGTGCAGATTTAAGGTTACGCTGAAAAACTGCAGCTGGAAGTTCTGAGTAATAATAATAATAATAATAATAATAATAATAATAATAATAATAATAATAATATAACTTCAACAATTATATTTTACCAAATGCTGATGACAATTTCTAACTCACTGAGAAATGACTGAACACACTGGTGTCATAAGCAATGTTCCCTCTAATTTTTCATGTGTCAGAGCGAACACACAAACTCCCTGAGCGATCCCTTGGACCACTGTGAGCAACATTAGACGTGTGCACTGTGGTCACGCCAGCATCGAATCCATCCAAGTTACATGGTTTATTAGAATAATCAAATTACAACATTTACATTTATGTTAGACTACTTTTAATTAACTGCTTTAGCCCACAACTACAATGAAAATGTAAAAAAAATCTTGTTCATGACCTGTGTAGTATGTTAACACTGTTGGAAGTAAAAATAACTTGAACACCAATTTTGAAAACACAACTTTCTTTCTTTTTTCTTTTTTTCTTTTTATAAAGCTCTGACTTGTATTATGAGTATGAGTCTGTGGTCTGGGAGAGAGTCCTGTAACTCTCTGTCTGCAAAATACAGTATATAAAGACCAATGCTGGGCTATATATGCTATATAGTTACTTCTTCAAAAAAGTTACTGAGTTTGGCAAACAACAAAGTTTTTTGCAGCTGTTTACTTAAAAATGCTGCCAAGGCGGCTTGATTGGTCGACATGGTACATTTTTCGACCAATGGGAAAGGGTGGGGGGTGTTTTGGTTTCATCTTTGCTCACAGGCGGAGAGTGCTTTCGAGTGTTTTCCTTATAAAATGCTGTTTTTACCGTTTCTTCCCGCAGTAAATATAAACAACGATAGTATTCAGGAAGAAAACCAAACATTGCATATATTTTTATCATAACTCTGGTTTTATGTGGCCTATCAACACAATTTAAAACTGGTACAAAGTCCACACTTTTTCTGTCAATTGTTCCGTCTGTCCTGCTCACATTTCCAATGGTTGTACACGTTGTCATTAACGTGGCTTCACTCCACATCGCCGCTTTGCCAGCTAAAACACCGGTGTCGGCACATAAGGACTCTGTCATAGCCTGTCAACGACGTTGATTAGCTGCGTATATACGAATGTGAATCGCGTGATTGGCTGGACTATGGGATAAGGTGGCATTGTTCTAATCCCATACTGGAGCAGCCAGTCACTTACTAACACTGCAAGACAAAATTGTTAACGTATTTGCTTTAATTTCAATTCAGGTTAGAATTTTTTTTTGTGCGCAACGCAGATTTTTTCTGCGCAGAAACCGTGCCAGCAGTGCGCAATTGCACACGCGCGCAGCTTAGAGGGAACATTGGTCATAAGGCTCTCATTTATCCAGCAGCTGAAATCTTTATATAAATCCTCTTACTGCTCTCCAGTCGGTCAGCCAGCTCCTGCTGCTTCATTCTCCTCAGGAAGTCCACTGTGATCTTCACAAATGCCTTCCTGCTGTTTCTCCTCTGCTCATCATCCTCCCTCTGAAACTCCAAGCACTGGGGCTTATTTGGATTCAGAGTCTTCTGGATCTTCTTCAGCTCATTCTTCACAAAAGTGATGATGTTGTCCTCCAGCAGCTGGAACAGAATACTTTATGAATAAGCCACCACTCTGAACTTCAGTCTAAAATATCTGCTTCTTTATGATCAAGGGGCATATAATCCACAATGTCTTTACCAATTGTAAGTTTGACTTTATCTGATTAACTGAGACATTCTCCACAACTCCATGATCCCAAAACGTTGATTCTGTTCATGTGGATGCAGTGATTTCAGTGGGAGAAACATTTCACTGGTGTTTAGAGCTGCCTACCAACGGCTGGAGGATTAAAACCAGAAACTTGGAGATGTTATAGGTGACTGAGTTGATAATACAGACAAAAGGTCTGTATTAAAGTCTGTCTTAAAGGTTCACTCAGTTTATGCATACGGATCAGTATTTAAGGTTTGACGCTCATCCACTGGAGCACTAACTGGGCGTCATCGGGACGCTACAACACAGAGCAAACACCATCCTACAGACACAGCAGCCAGGGAAGCAGAAGAACATCACATCAAGAAGGCCCTGAGTGATGTGAATGCTGGTTTGATCGCAGAGTCAAGGGGGACTTTTACATGTAAAAGGAAAGACTATCCCTGAATCGAGGAGGGGGCCTAAGGGTACATCGTTACACATCTTACAATGCTGTGATTGCAGCCATTCCCCAACTCTCTGTGAATGGTACTCATGGTCTTTGATCAGTGGTTTTTGATCAATGGTCATAACAATATGCGTACCAATGATCAAGGAGCTGACCCCACAGCCCATTGTTCCTTCAGTGGGCTGGTTTCAGTCATTGCAAATATACTGTTTATAAGGTTGGAAACCTGCAGTCAGCTGAGACTGAAGAAGTCACCTCGATGATGATGAAACGTTTCTCCCACTGAAAAAATCCAGATGATCCAACCTTTTTGGAATAAACTTACCTGGATGATTGAGCATGCATCAAGACACAACTCTGTTACTTTTCTCTGTTAAATGAATCCCCTCCTCCAGTTTTGTTTACATCTACCAGCCCGTAGCACTGCGATGGGACATTGCAATAATCTATGTTGAGAGGTGGAAAGTCATAGAGGTGTCTGCTCCTGCCTTCAGTTGACACTGATTTTAAAACATTGCATGGAATAGCTCCTATATATCTTTCTAACCTTTTAAATTGGTATACTCAGGCGAGATCTTTGAGGTCCAAATGCTTCTAGTTGTCCCTAGGTCTAGATTAAAACACAGAGGAGATCGGGCTTTTGCTGTGACTGCTCCAAAAATTGTATCTGATTATTTTATTGCACTGTACTTTGGTCAACAGTTGTTGTTTTTAAAAGTACTATATAAATAAAATTGATTAATTGATTGATTGATAATCTACTGTGAGTCAGCTGCCTGAACGTACTCCAACTGTCTACCGTCCCCCTAAACTCAACAATGACTTAGTGAATGACTTTGCTGTTTCCTCAGACATCTATCAATACTCTCACCAAGCAAATACTGCTGCAGGATGTCAACAAAGCAGTATATTGATAATCCCACTTCTCTAAACAACACATTTGGACCTGATTGCTGCTCTGGTTCACACGTGAACTTTGACTACTGCTGTCACCAACTTGAGAGGCTCAACAGAAAAACTGGACTTGTTCATAAAAAGATGTATAAAAATCATAAACCACATTACAAGGACAGCATTGCTCAATTCTAATTACTATTGCCATGTTATCTCTTCTAATTAAGGTACAGCCACTCAAAATTGCTTCTTTCAGTGAGAAGTCAAACGTCTGAATATGAGCTGGAAGTGAGCCGCTGAGAGTCCTCCCTCCTTCCCAATGGGGTTTACTTTCTCTACTACTTTCACTATAAACACACCCCTTTCATGCAACTGCAGAGCGCCACCAATAGATGGCACTTATTAAACAAACCCACTTGGATAGTTACGCTGTAGATGATTTTCTCAGTGTTATTGTAGGATTTTGAGTTATTCTTTAGATTTATTTAAACTCAAGTCTTGAGTGACCAATAATTCCTCTGTACTTTTCATAAGACAAGCCAGACCTTCATCTAGTTTTTCTTTTCTTTGGCTGCGTTTTAAATCATTTTCAGTCCTTGTACAGAAACATTCTTCAAGCTAAATCCAAGTATATTAGAGCAGTCTTAACTTGATAGATATGCATGTGTGTGTAACTCTTATAAGCTGTTTGGGCTGCTTTTTATGGGGGCTGGGTCTTTGGACCCAACAACAGTTTTAGTAACACACCCTGAACTGCACACTTTAACAAACAAAATGACATTTTAACAGTAATGTAAAAATCTAAAAATCTTGTGATTCATTGTTATTAAGGACAAATACATCTATGGCCCCGTTTCCATTAGTAGCTGCTCAGATTCACTCACCACAGGCCGCCACGACTGGACTGGATCAACTGGTTTTCCATTACAGTTGAGGACCACCTAATGTGGTCGTCTCAATACAGCCGAGTGTCACATCATTAGTAAGTGCATTAGTAAGTGCTAATGTTTTTGATTTCCATCATATTTGTCATTTATTTACAAAGTTATAGAAGAAACAGTAGTCATTCAGCTTAATTCCCACTGATCTCAACTACAAACTGTTTCACTTTGGTTTTTGTTTAAAGCCTCGATGTTTAAAACAGCATAAGTAGTTGTTGTACATGTACAGACCATAAATATGGAGTCCAGCTGTGTTTGATGCTGCTGGGCAGAATGACCACTGGGAACCTCTGAGCTCTGCTGGTCCACTCTGTGGGGGAATCATGGTGGATTGGTGTCATTGTACCAACACAAACACACATATAAATGAGGCCACTTTGATTATTGAAATGTGAATTTATCCTCTAAATGCTGTTTTCAGCCACTTTTGCTGCTGTCCTTGCTGCATCTGTAATTGTTGTTTTGCTGTCAGAGATCAAAATGATTGATGATAGAAATTATACTCCAACTCTGGAGTATAATTTCTCCAGAGACTGTTATCCTGATTACTGACACTTCTTTGTTGTTCTTTTCCAGACTAAAAAAAACTGCCTGAGGTATTCACCTCTGGCAGCAGAAACCCAAGAATGAAAGAGGAGGAAGACATGGAACTATCATGGAAGGACTGTCCCCTGCATGGTATGTACTGTACCACAGGCAGATAGAGGAGGTGGCTGATATCCAGAAATCCTACCAGTG